GGGGGGTCGCGTGCAGCCCCCCCAGCCTATCCGCCTGCTGCTGGAGTACACCGGCACCAAGTATGAGGACAAATTTTACAAGTGTGGTGAAGGTAACCTACCTGTTCAACTAACAGGAAAAACCATCATAGTTTCAATGACAGAAGTGGTACGAGCGTCCATACAGCATTCCCTCTGACTCATGTTACTCTCCTCTCTGTCATGCAGCACCCGACTATGACAAGAGCTGCTGGTTTAATGAAAAGGAAAAACTTGGAATAGACTTTGCCAATGTGAGTGAGGTTTTTAATCTTTTGAAAAAGTTAACTTTATTTGTAAAGCAAACAAGTTTAAATTGTCAATTCATAATGATATGGTGACTGACATTTCATCATAGCTGCCCTACTTGGTGGATGGAGATAGGAAGATAGTTCAGAGTAATGCTATCATGAGATACATCGCTCGTAAGCACAATATGTGTAAGTATTTTGGTTTTCACAAATATTTTGATCAGAGTTTTTACTTTTAAACTCATTAATTCACTAACATTATAAATTAAGACTTTTTTCCTTTTAAGACTTTTCAGTTATGTAAACATCATGTTTATGGTCTCCTTTGAAAAAGGAACTACGTACATAATTTCCAGGCTCTTACTGAATGTCTCCCTAAAATCTCATCTGTTCAAAGGTGGAGAGACTGAGGATGAGAAGGTCCGCGTGGACATTTTGGAGAACCAGGCGATGGACTTCAGAAACGGCTTTGTGATGATGTGCTACACTGACTTGGTGAGTACCATGTTTAAAGTTGAATATGACCCTTTTACACCTCTAAATATCCACTAATGCCAGCTTGTCACCCCTCTGGCATCAGGACAAAATAAAGCCTGGATACCTTGAGAAGCTGCCAGGAACACTCAAGCAGTTCTCAGATTTCTTGGGAGACAGGAAGTGGTTTGCAGGTGACAAGGTAGGTCACCCTGAAACACAAGACACTTTGTATGTTTAGGCACAAGTATTTTTAAAGCTGGGTTGGTCAGATTTTAACTGGCTAGAACATAAACTGATGACTTAAATTTAACACCCTGTGAATTTGATCTGCTGTACATGTTGGTGAAGAATTGCCTGTTTACAGTGGGGGTTTTGTTGTTTTGATGATCTTCCTACTGTCACTAGAAACTGCTTAGAGCTGGTCATGTAAGTGAACCAACCAGTAAATTTGTGGGTTGCAAAACCAAAATGGTGACCTTACACAAGTTTTAAAGCTTCATAGATCTGAAGAACTGCATTGTGGGTAATATCTGGGTGTATCACTCATAACTACCTCTGACATTACATGTAGTAATTGCATTGAAAACTTGATTTAGTGTGACTGAGGGTCACTTTGAGCCTTATTTCACTTTCAGCATATTTAGTTAATATAACTTTTCTTCACAACAGATCACTTTTGTGGACTTCCTTTTGTACGAGCTGTTGGACCAACACAGGATGTTCCATCCTGTGTGCCTGGATAACTTCAAGAACCTCCAAGATTTTCTGGACCGTTTTGAGGTGAGTACAGTTGGTCAGATAGAAATGCATCTTGCACTTACTGCTGCAAGTTAGTCAGGTAAAGTCCTGCACTTTAGCATCTTTACTCTGCTGTTGTCAGTGTGCCGTCTGTAGGTCAATGGCAGTAATGTGGCCTTGTCCTGTTAATGGTGCGATTCACCTTGCAACAAAGTTTTGTTTTGTTTTGTTTTTAATGACTTGGCATGCCATCGTATCATCCTAGGCGCTGGAGAAGATTTCTGCTTACATGAACTCAAGCAGATTCATGAAGACTCCTGTCAACAACAAGATGGCCAAATGGGGAAACAAGAAAGATTAAGGGGACAATGTGAAAAGAACAGTGTGCAACTAGTTCAGCAATAAATTCCCCAGTTAGCTTGTACAATGTTTCATGTTCTTTTTGTCTTGCACTCTTCTAGATAGTTGCATGAGCCAGTTTTTGTAAAGTCTGTACTGCTATTACCAAGAGAAGTAAAGTTTTCAAAGTAGAGCACTTAATTTCTTTATTACATTTGAAACTGATTAAAGTAGATCTTCTAAAAGCGTTTTGAGACTCAATTTTAACATCACTTATGTACAGTGAAATCTAAGAGCATTAATCAGAAAATATTACAGGGTATAAGTTAATGCACTTGAAGAGTAAGTTAGATGTGCAACAGAGGTTAAGAGCAAAATCTGTTGAATGGAACAAACATAATCGCAGGGAAACTACACAACTGCAATTGTAAAAGTTAGTTTGAAGCAGTTTCATTTATATGGAAGAGGATAGTGACCTCCTCCACATCGAGTAGGCCAACTTAAGTTGGCCTTCAACTGCAGAACACTGACTTTTGTGGTCCTAATCCTCTCCCATAATGTTAATAGCTATCCACAAGATAATTTGACACCACTTAACTACAGATATTGATGTGCGGATTAAAGTCTAGAAACAAACTGAAGGACTTGAGCAGTGAAGGAGGTCCTTAGTAGCGTCCATTGTACAGGCCCGATGATTCACTGGCGAGCTGCAGGGAACGGGATGAAATGTTACTTATGCATTCTGTCACTAAACAGCTGCAACACATATGACATTACTTACTGCAATGGCTGACTTAATGGCCTGAAGCTGGAAGAAGACCTTGCCTCCTTCCTCTGGACACACAGTCCTTATCTCGTCCTTGGTCATTCCCAGAAGCAGTTTGCCAGTCAGCACCCCGAGGCTGCTCACAGTGCTGGAAAGGCATAAAACACACTTCATCATGTAAGAAAGGGCACTGCATTCACAAAAAAGAATCTTGTAATTACAACTTTATCCCTTAATTATAAGGTTCTGATTTAGCATTGACGGTGTTTACAGCTATGCTTTTTTGGTGAAAGGTGGGGATGACATAAGGCATACTATCACTACAAGCAGTGACTAATAACGTCAACATTCATTTGCGTGGAAAAATTTGATCTTAATGGTTCGATGGCCTTATGTCTGAATCTACACGTTTCCGCCGTTGCTCACCATTGTGTGCATTAAGCACAATGAATGTCAGAGCTTTGGAAAAAAAATGCATCTCTGGCATTCATTGTGCTTAATGCACACAATGGCGAGCAACAATGAACAATTTTAGGATATCTGACAATTTTTCTATGCGATTAAACAATGTTACTTGTCCCTGCTTGCAGCAACAGTAGGCGTTATGTCATCACCACCTTTCACCCACAGTGCACCACGGGAAACCTTGTTACATCATTGTTTTAGGACCATTATGAGAGATCTGCTAATTAGAAGCCCATTTGTAGTTAACAGTTCACTTTTGTTGTGCAGTATTTGATATACTGACAGCTATCACTGAATTACTTTGATACTAAATTCCTTAAAACCTGATTTTTCAGGCAAGTTTTGTGGCGTTCCAACTTACATTATCTCCTAATTATGAGAAATTTATTTATTTTTTTCCTTTGAATGCAGTGTGCTTCCATAATCAGGAAATAGAAGCCTTATTTAAAGTACAAACATGACTTACATTCTGGAGAATCCTTTATACTCGAGCCAGGCTTTCACCTGTGCAGGCGTGGAGGTCATGTCTAGAGTCACTGGGCCGCGAGTGTTCCGCTGTGAGGGAGAGTAAAGGGAATAAAAATGTCACATGTGACACCTGTTATGTAGGTTACTCAGGAGAGCTTCCTGTCATCCCTCTCACCGGTAGATCTGCCATGGGCCCGGGGCTCATGATCGGCTCCAGAACGCTGAAGGGAACATTTCCTTCCTCGTTACTGGTGCTGCGAACAAGCCACCACTGTTTGGATTTCTGAATTACCTGTAACAAAAAAAAATCCAAACGTGTTCTGTACCTGAGTGATAGTACTGGCAGTAACAGTAACAGACAACTATGATTGAGACTGGTAAATTTATGTGTCTAAAAATAGAAACTATGCAGCTCTATTGAGAAACAGTGTAGGTTATGAGTACGATATGAAGATTTAAATGGATTATTGAGCTGGGATGTCTGTTGGATTGGACTGCTCTCTGCTGCGGTTTCAATGTCTGAAATGTTCTAGGAGCCTTTTTCTACCATCAGATGTGTTCAGTTTTCCTGCCCGTTACTGAAACACAGCTCTCATCAACTGGATGTACATTACAAGCCAAAAAAACCCCTGAAGGATAAAGCACCATCATTAACATCCAGTGATTCACAGTAAGTCATTTGTTCATTAATGTTCACACTGCACAAACACATGCAAACTGTTTGTAAACAAAAGTCAAGCAGACATTTGAACAATGGTTTGGTTACCATCCTATGACAGTTTGACAGTGCTGGGAACCTGGGGACTTAACACCAGGCATCTTTGGGCTACCGGTATTTTAATTCAAGTCAGGCCAGTTTGATTAAATTTTCCTTTAACGACGGCTTACATGGCAGATCAAGCGCAGCAGTCTGCTCCAAATATGTTTGAATTTTGAAACTTGCATTTTTCATATCAATCTCGTATTACTATACCTTATACAAATACAAGCAACCTTTGCGCCGTCTTAGATGAACAAAGGTTATTGTACTGTGTCATCTCACCTGAACCACGTCACCCTTCATAACACTCAGCTCTCGGTTGTTCCTGGCCATGTAGTTGTAAATGACTCGCATGTGCAGGGGTGGCTCACTGGAGTTGAAACGGCAAGAGACACACATTTAGTGGCAGCAGTTCAGATAAAGCCCTGGGAGCAGTGATTCAAGAAATGTTTGCCATATTCACTGTAGTGCAATAACACTTACTGTGATGGTGGTGGTGGTGGTGGTGGTGGCGGCGGCGAACCCCACGGACCATTGGTCACAGGCTGTAAAAGGCACAAAATGCAACCTGCTGACACTGAATGGATATGACGCTTGTGATAATAGTTTCGCTGTATATGTTAGCTCATTTTGCTTTGAGAACTCGCATATTAGACGGTACTGATTGCCAGATGACAAGCATTTGTAGATCTTTTCTATTGTAGATGATTATACCACTCTCCGCGTCTCAAGCAGGGTTTTTCTACACACCTCATTAAACACTCAGCTACAGCATAATAGTTGGAGAGGAGCTGAAAACAAGCCTTAATCACCAGCATTGTAATCACCCACATGGAAGTTCATTTCGCAACAGCTGGACATGTGACAGGTACTGATAATCTCTCTGCTAAAGCACCATGAATACAGTAGTAACATGATGCTGTTAAGAAGAGATATGGAAACAAAAACCAGTGTTAATGGACAAGCACCACAGTACTTTGGATTAAAATTTGAGCTGCATTATTTGAGGAATCCCCTAATTAAATGTAATTGTGTTGGTATGTTTCTACCTGTTCAGGCATCATGGGTTTGGGTGAGTAGCTCCGGCTTTCATTTATCTGTCCTGGGGAGAAGCGCTGGCTGCTGCTGCGGCTGCGGGCGGTGGGTGTGGCGGGGTCCTGCTCATTGGTCTGATCTGGCGAGCGGGCAGGGCAGGTGGTTGCCAACCATCATAGAAGTCTGGGGTGTAGGGTGGGACATTACCTGGGTATCTAGATCTATGAGGTGACAGCAGGACAGGAAACTGTCAGCTGAATGAAAGACAAAAAGGAACTGACCTCATGTAAGAATAACCACCAAAATAAGTGGATTTGACAACATGGTGTTTGATAATTCCTGATCTATGAATGATGCATTTGGGCTCATTGGAACGGGGCGAATATAAAGCACAAACTAGGACAAGTTTAAACCTGTCATGCAATTTTAGCTTTATAAGGTGAAATTGTTTTTTGACATACTGGGAAATATGCTTGTTTACTTTCATGCAGAGAAGATCAATGCCACTGTGTCTATAGCAGCTGGTTAGTGTAGCATCAGGACTAGAAAACAGGGGAGACAGTAAATGTGGCTTCCTCCAAAGATTAAGGAAACATCAGTCCACCAGCACCTCAAAAGCTCAGAGTAACATATCATCCATTTGTTATTGCATCTGTTCAATTAAAAGGTATAAAAATGACAAGTTGTAGTTCTGCAGTGGTTTTATGTGCTAGATTATTTTTTGGCCAGATGCAGTCTCCTGTCTTTTTGCCTCACAGTGCCATCTTGTTGGCAATTGTCTTCTTTTTTTTTAACCTTTTGGACAGAGGCAGGCTTGTGGTTTTATATTAAGAGTGACATCAGTCTTCTCTGTCTCATCTGTCTCACAAAGTCAGTGGATAAGTCTCCAAAAATATCAAACTAGTCTAATGGCTTCTTATTGGCAAGCAACGTATTTAGGTTGTATAGATCTGTTGAAGTCCTTAACAACAACTCTTGGGTTGCCAGGTAGTGAAAAATCTCTCTAGCTGATGTTTCTTCTTTCTATAATGCAGCTACAAATGTTGGTAGTCTAATAAGCCATTAGGTCTGCAGTTAGAAGTGTTAATAAGATGCTGATGAATAGATTTTGGTCCAGATTCTCAGCAGCTCAAACTGTTTCTCACTGGTCTTCCTGAAAAACTACACACAAAAAAAAAGACAAAGCAAGCGTCCTATGTGTATGAACACCAGTCAAGAGGACCTTTCACAACCTGCCATCCCTTGTTCTTATTAATGGCCTATTGATAAAGCACTAGTTAATTGTCAGTGCCCATCACAGTATTTCATCACAGACTGAGTCTTCAAGTACAGTATACAGTTGTAAAACTGAAATCAGCTATAATTTCAGACTAAACACTCCCATCAACCATTTTAACTTTGACCTATATGTACACACCAGAAAACAAACTCACTATGCCACAAGTGAGGGCGTGCCAGGGCAGGTACAGGTGCATTTACAATCAGAGGGCTACTTTTGGGTAGGTGACAAGCTGTAGAAAAAGACTTGCGCAAGTGTGTGAGGATTATAAACCTTGGGACGTTCCAGCTGTCTCCCAGAGACTTCCACAGGCAGTCCTCCTCTGGGCTGACAACCTGGCTGAGCAGCTGCAGGGCCGCCTCTGTCAGCAGGGGAGAGAGCACAGTGGGAGGCAGGTCTCCAGGATACTGAGGGACTATCTGCAAAAACAGAGCAAGTGTTTACCGTCACTAAGAAGAGCCTGCCACAATAAGTACACAGCAGCCGCCAGTAAACCGGAGGTCGAAAGAGCTTACCGTGCCTAAAGTAGAGAAGAAGATGTGGACAAAGTCAGGAGCACTGGGGCTGGTCAGGACCCCATCCAGCTGGCTCTAATATAATAAAAGATATTCAGTTAGACTCCTCTGGTTTCTGCTGGAATCACACAGGGCAGCCACATTCTTTCCAAAGCACTGTAGTCAGTATGCAAACTGTGGAGCCATTTAACAGTTTAAAGAAGTGTTTACCAGAAGATTGAATCCATATCTGATTTTCTGAAGATAAGAGATATATTCCTCCTGAGGCGGCAGGCTGGCAGCTGATGCTGCAGGAAAGGCACAAGCACACAACACGGTCATTATGTCTGTACCATAGACTGTATATAAAGAAACATGGTGTGTTCTTTTAGGAGTAATAACGTGTCTGTGAAAAAAGAAACTGCTAAAAGGACATTACCATTTTTCTTTGATTTTTTCTTCTTAGATTTTCTCTTGCTCTTCCCATCTTGCAGTAAAGATGCATTTACTGCAGCAGAAACTTTGTCCAGGAAGATTTCCAAATCATTTATAACATGGTTTAAAATTTCCTATGGAAATGAATAAAATCATGAAACAAAACCTTCAGCAGCTTTTTAAAAACTGTCATGTACATGCACGTTTCATGAGAACAGTGATTAGACAATGTTTACAAATGTAAAAAGTTATTGCGCCACTGACCGTGTTTATTTCTATGTATGCTTGCTCATCCTCCGGGCTACTCTCGAATTGATGAAGATCAGGATGGTGCACTGTTTCTTTTTGCGGAGTGTAAACCCACAGGGGAAGCATGGTTTGTAATTGGGAATAAAGAAAAGTGTGTCTAGGTAAAAACTGAAGTGACTGTGCTACAAAGTAATGTTGACACATTTGACACATATTAGGCAGCAAGTGAACATTCAGTCCTCAAAGATCCTAGAAGCATATGCTTTCAATGTACCTGGTTGTCTGTCCTCCCATTGTGGAGGCGGGAAGTCCGGGGGAGGCGGGGCCCACTCTTGCAGCGTAGCATGAGGCCCGGCTTGCTGAAAACGTCCTGGCGCATGTTCCCCGATGATATTCTCAAGATTACCCCTGTGAACAGCAACAGACAGCAGGTATTGAATCTGCTGATGTCCTCTGCTTTGTCATCAGTGTGATTTTATATTGTATTCATGTGATGTGACACTGTACCTGATGTCAAACTGCTCTCTGTGTGGCTCTGTGTCGCCGCCTTCTTTTTGTACTACTTTATCCAGATCAGCCTTGACGAGTTCCGCCTGGTAAAACAGACCAGCTTTAAATCAAACTCTTATGTGACACCAGCAAAAAGCAGCTACGAATGACTAACAAATTAAATGAACTAACGATGTGAACAACATACAGTATACTTTTAGTAAAGTGTCTCCAGGGAGGGAGGAAACATTCTTCCCACACACTTCCATTCTCATTAAGCTATTCATAACCTAGAGGTGCAACCATTAGCCAGCTGGACTGTTTCAGCAACTGTTTTGAAGCATTTTCAGGCATCGTTTACTTTAATGTGAGCAATTGTTGCTTTTCTTCATCGTGCATGATAATAAACTGAATATCTTTGGATTTTTTTTTTTGTTGGACAGACATTTGAAGACACCGTCTTTGCTCTGAAAGGTCATAATGAGCATTATATCCCCTCTATTTTTTTACATTTTGATGAATAAAAAAAATAAAATAATTGGTAGATTAATCAGTGACCTTTGCATTTTTTATTTCCACTCCTTTATTCAGGATTTTAATTGTATATTATGTATTTCCTCACCCCACTGCGTGTTCACATTGTTATGCAATACTGATAATGGTCCAGGAAATATCTGTCCCTGATTTCAGAGATTACATCCATCACCTTGACTAACACACTCTCCCTTCCCTTCCTTCAGTTGAAATGCGACTCACCCCGGTTTCCTCACACTGGAACATGAAGACCCGAGTGAAACGTTTGTTGCGCTCCTTCAGAGCTACTATCAGCAGGGAGTCATAGGCGCAGCTGTCCAACACAGCTTTCGTTTGCACAACGCAACTCAAAGACAGCGACTCCAGCTCCACCTTTAGGATCACATCAGACAGTACAAAGGTCATGACCTGGGTTGTTATAGTGAATACGAGTATACACAGTTCCTTTTCACATAAAAACAGAACACTTAAAATGCAGTCACACTACATTATGCTAGAAAATGCTACCAACCTTTGTCTCGATGTCACTGAGCAGTAGATATCCTCGCTGAACCTCCATGATCATCTCCTGGGGCCACAGACGACTTTTGGCGTCCAGGCTCTTGAGCTTAGCCACACAGTCGTCCACTGTCCTCATCTCCTGGCCATCCAGCTCACAGGTGAACAGGTGCTGCGGAGTAAACACTGAGAGTCAGGAATGAGGAGAACAAAAGGTTGTATTGTTGTGTATGTGCATATTCCAAATCCCTTTACCTCCACTCTGTATTGAAAGTCATAAGGTTGTCTGTTCAGCGTCTCAGAGTACTCTTTTCTCTGCACTGATGTAAAGAAAAAGTTCATTTAAAACTATGTACAAGACCCTTTTTTGTACAAAACGTACCCTACAATTACACACAGGAGGTTGTGCGGTGTTGCTTTTTATATTTGAACATACTGTATATGGATTTTCCACTGGGTCTAAACATGCCGTTTCTCTGCAATGGAGCACCCCTGAGGTCATCTTGTTGGGAAAGCCGCCACGATTGAGGGGCGACCTCCTGTGAGAAAGGCCTGGAGAATGATAAAAGGCGACGTACATGTCAATAAAACCATAACTTCCTGATGATAAACTATGCACAGTTGCTACAACACAATAGTGTTTTATCATGAAAGGGTGTGAACAGGTGTCTAGAGTGTTGTAAAGATCTCTAATAGTGCTCAAATGGCCAAACCAAATTAGAACCAGTGACTGGTAAACCTGAAAATGGAATTAAACTTTCACTGACCTTGGTGAGTAGAAGGGAGAACTGTTTCCAAACATGATCAAACTATGACATCTGTCTTTTATGGAAGAGTTAAAACATGGACGCCTCTCCGACCTGTTAGAAGATATTTGTGCCACCAGTTATGAAAGAAGTACTCAAGTTTGTTTAAGTAGCAATGCCACAGTGGAAAAATACAAGTCTTGAATTCAAAAGGTTGGGTCAAGTACAAAAGTATTAGCCTCAAAATATACTTAAAGTACCAAAAGTCTTTATTATGTAGAATGCCACAGTTTCAGGTATATAATATTACTAGATTGTCCAAACTGTCACATACCTCCTGGATTGAATGTAGCGCTAAGATGAGTCTTCCTGCCAACAAACCACTTTCTGCAAGAGCAAAGCTTTTCATCTCCGAACAAAACGTATTCCCAGAACCACTCAAGATTTATTTAATCTCCTGTAAATTATAACTTCTACCCACCTTCTTCAACCGGTTATTACCCGTCAGTGTCAGCTCAGTTTTGGCGTCATCATTCCTGTGATTTAAGCCGATTTTCTACCAGGACGTCTCATAGCAGAAAGCATTTGTTCCTCATGCAGTCCCACCCAGAACGCTTCCTTGATTTCCTGCTAAAGGCACAGGGATTAAAGTGCAAAAGACCTGAGGGGAGTGACGGCTGAAGGAGGGCTGGCCCGATTTGTCACTTGAGGTCAAGTATTTGAGGCGCTAGGCAGTAAATGTGTGGCTCATTACGAGTCCAAAGGTTCAGAAAAGCGTCACAGTGATCAGAGATCTTAAGTGCTCTGGAAAACGCTCTTATGTATTTATCTCACTCAAGCATAATCTACTGTGGCTATGAAACATTAAGTCTGTCCCACAGACATTCACAGTAACGTCACACAGAAATATAGCAAGTGTTCAAAGAGAAAAAAAAAACAGGCCAGTTAAAGTTGAATTAAAGATCCATTTATTTGACGTGTAAATACTGTACACACCCATATTGTCGACAGAAATAATCTTTAAACAGGAAACAGTTTATTCTGTAAAGAAAAGTGAATCTTTCGTCTTGGGACAGTGAGTTGGGGATCAGAGTAGCCTTCTCTGAAGACTTGACAGTTTAGGCTGTAGCTTTGGCCTGAGTGGTCTTGGCCAGAGCCTTCAGGTCGGTGATACACTTAGCGATGCTCTCTTTCTCCTGGGGAGAAAAGAGGAAAAAAAAACAAAACACAGATATGAAGCTCGATATCAAACGTTACCACGTATATTTATATACAAGACAGTAAGTGTAGTTGGAAAACCTAGATTTTTTTTTTTTTACAACAGATAATTTTATCATTTTTGACTAACAACTTTGTAAATCAGGAGCTATCTTGTCAAAGAATAGCCCAAAGATAACTATACTTCTTCCTAAAGATTGTTTGACAAATGCAAGCTCTTTTATATTCAAGGACTAGACAATTACCTGTCACACAGTATTCACCATACTCCAGCCGCTCCTTTTCCAATGATTCACAATGAGGGAAATAATGGTTTTGTGGCCAGTGCATCACAAGATGAACATGGAAGTGGTAGCAACTCAGTTTGGCCACTATGCCAAATTCACTTCACAGACCAGTGCAACCCCTGTCAGCTTGGTCTCACTTAGACAAGTGGTCACCAAGTGGCCAACTGCAGACACACTTCGTTTGGGACCAAATAATTCTGAGGTTTGAAATCCAGCCCTGATAATGAAATGTTCAAACAGGAAGACTGACCTGCTGAGGACTGATGCTGCTGATGACACTCTTCTCCACCCAGTTGACCATGTGCTCCAGCTCCATCCGGCGGTGAAGGTTCTGCAGCGCAATCTGGTAGTCCAAGCGCCTCTTCACCTCATTGGTCACCATGTGTAGCCTCTCTCTGTAGTTGGTCTCCAACATCATGGCCACATTGTTCTGAGAGGAAACCAAGGAAAAATATCTATGGTCAAACCCTGTAGGGGTTCTAAAAAATAAATTTTAAGCAGGTTAAACTCCTTCTTTATGTGCAGCCAAAACATTTTTATTTTTAGATAGACTGATGATCATTACAGAGAGGAGACACACACTCATCGCTATCAAGCAAGACAACATGAATCACAGCATCCAAGCTTGAATATGTAGTTCCAAGATCAACTAGCCGATGTGGTCCATAGATCTGTGTAAATCTAATGATCTTTATTTAATAACTTTATTTATGGCCTCTTTTATCCAAGATGTCATTTTGTTCCACATTCCATATCAGCCCCACTGGGTTTCATTGGCCACTCTACTGTAGCCTCAGTTTTTACTTGTTGGCAGCAGAGGTTGAAAAATGTCAGATGCATAACAATGACCCTTCAACAGCTAGGTCCTAAAGTTCGCGGATGACACCACAGTGATAGGTCGCATCACTGGCGGGGACGAAGCAGCCTACAGGAGGGAGGTGGCCGGTCTGGTGTCATGGTGCAAGGACAATAATCTCAGCCTCAACACAGACAGGATGAAGGAGATGATAGTGGACATGAGGAAGGAGAGGAGAACTCATCAGTCACTGTTCATCCAGGGGCTTGAAGTGGAAAGGGTGAGCAGCTTCAAATACCTGGGCGTCCACATCAGTGAGGACCTCACTTGGACACTCAACACCACACAGCTGGTCAAGAAGGCCCAACGGCAGCTGTACTTCCTGAGGAGGTTTGGCATGTCGCCTAGGATCCTCAGGAACTTCTACAGCTGCATCACTGAGAGCATCTTGACCAGCTGCATCACTGTCTGGTATGGCAGCACTACTGCTGCTATGGACCGCAAGCGCCTGCAGAGAGTGGTAAAGACTGTGGAGAAGATCACTAGGACTCCACTGCCCTCTCTGCAGAGCATTTACCACCGCAGGGTGCGTAGGAAAGCTGCCTCCATCCTCAAAGATCCAACACACCCCCAGCACGAACTGTTCGCCTCCCTACCCTCTGGCCGGAGGTTCAGAAATGTGAAATGCAGGACCACTAGACTGAAAAACTCTCTTTCCAGCTGTCATCAGACTCCTAAACAGCTGACAGGAGTTCACAATCAGGAGTTACTTCATGTAATTCCACCTGTACTGTTTACATGCATAGTTGCTGACTGTTGCACATACAGCTCCGATGTAGCATACATTGTCTTATTGTGTTCTTATTATATTTCTTTTCACTCACTGTTTAAAGTGTTTCCTAACTGTACATATGACAAATAAACACTTTGACTCTGAATAGAGGTAAAAGCTAAGGAGTACTGGGGAAATAAATACAGGTTGTCAATGTGCTTCATTTAAGTCTGTCATGCAACTATGAAGAGTGACGGTATTGGAAAATAAAAACAAAGGTCAGTGCTGCTCACCCTCTTGGCATCAAAGAGCATTGATCTTCCATCCACTCTCCATTGTTCCTTCTTCTCATTCTCAATAGCCTGAACCAGGCTGGACATGGCATGATCCTTCACCTCCTGAAACTGGGCCACTTTCTCCTGAAACATACACACACACATACACCAGGATTACAGGGGTGCTTGTAAATGTTGTGCACAAAAGAGAAGACCAATGATTTGTGACTAAAACCCTGCAGGCAGGTGACAAAATCTGTCTAAATATTTAACATGCAACAGGTTGGAATAAGCGTCCACAAACTGATCCCATTATTATCCAGAAAAAAAAAACAACAACTAATCCTTGTGTTACCAGCCTACCTCATTAAGTTTGTCAGCAAAAGCTGCAACGTCTGGACCAAACTTCTTAATACCATAGACGGCAATGGCGCCTATGGTGAGGGCAGCAATTGTCTCATGATTGATAACGTAGATTTCCTTAGATAGCATGTAGAGGATGAGGCCAGTGCCCAACATGTAAGGTCCTAGAGGAAAAAGTAGGAAAAGAGTGAATGTATAATTTTTTTTTAAACCGTTAATGCAGCAGCTTATTTTTGATGACATTTTTAAAACATTAAGATATAAAGTATGAAAACATGCAAAACAAACAATAACTTGTACAGGTTATGTTGTGCAGGAGTTATATTCAACTCCTTTGTTGAGCTTGTGCACTTACTGTTCCCAAAGTAAAAATAAACATGGACAAGCAGCTTTCAGTTTTATGCACCACATCCTCTGGAATAAAAACTCACAGAACACCTAAGGTCTGCTCCAGCTCTCTGTTCTTCTAAATCGAGGCTTATGAACTGTCTGTTTTCTACTGCCTTTGATTTAAATGTAGGACTATGGATGTGGTTCAATCAGAATCCTTGCGAATCCCTTATCAAGTCTGATAAATATTAATTATATTTATTAATATAGCATTTTTAAAGATGCATTTTATTTTCACGCACTATAGCAGCAAAGCAATTTAACTATTTTGTGGAGCAAACCATATAATATTTGTGAATCTAGTTTTTTCTAACCACAACTGATCACTTTCATTGTGATTACAGGCCATTTGCAAGAGAGTATGACACTGACTAGTATGAACCATCAAACCTAAACGATGGATGCTCTGCTGAGCTGGAGTGTTATACTGCAGCTTGATTTTGACATTCATTAACTGTCCTCACTCATGTTTCCTTGTGCTGTATTTGCTCCTTAGTGGGAGGCTGTGCTGCAAAAGCTTAAGTAAAAACAACAGTGAAATTAATAAACCTACTTTATCATTTAGGACCTGAATATCAATTTAATTTAATTAATTTAATCAGATAGCTTACTGAACTATGAACTTAGCTTTATATTTTCAACAATGCGCTTTATGTTTTCTTTAATTTGGCCCTACATGCCAGCTATATAAACTAACTGGTGAAGCCTAACACTGTGACTGTGCAGAGCATTGTCCCAAATGCAGAAGAGATATACTTGTTTAACTTCACTCATTTTAAAATGAAATAAGTGAATGTGGAGTCTTGCTTCTAGTTAAAGACTACAGACCTGTCACTCCAGTTTTGGGGTACAGGAGCTGGAAGAACTCCTCTGGGATGAGGCCATGACGGACCTTGCCTCCCTTCTCTGGCAAAGGGGGCACTGGGGCCAGACTCTGGGATGATGTGTGCAGGGAGCGAGATGCCTGGACAAGACTGATGGGGACAATGATTATGAGCTACTGCTTTCAGAGATACAGCAATCATAGCATTTATATTTATTGTTCATTATCGTCTTAATACCAACTTTAGTAAATGTAACAATTTCTAAGGCACATACCCAGCTCCAAGGGGAGAACCTCCTTTCAGGGCACTGGCTGCAAATAACAACAGAGAAAATAAGATCAACACGGGGTTGCGAATAACGCTTGCTTTCAGTCATGTTTTGCCATCAGATTGTTCTTTGATTAATTAGCACGTCTCTTAATCTCAGACAGAGCTGAACATTACAAACTAACTGCACGGCTAGCTTAAGTGTAGCTAATAAAGTTGCATGTGAGCGAACTGTACTATACAATAACAGGTCCACACGAATCCACTCATGATGACTTCAGTACCCACACGACAAAACAAGTTAAATGTTTGGTAGCAATGTGGCAAATTAGCAGCTAGCCCATGCATTAAGACAAAACCATATTTTGGTGGTCATGTATTGTGAAGCCAGTGTTGCTAGAAATGTAAAGAACATAAAATCGACCAATGCTAACTAGCTGTTAGGTGACATGTACAGGGGTGCAGAGCTAACGTTAGCCAATGTAGCTTCTGTTTGCTGCGCTTAGCCATCATCACCTAATTTAGTTAGCTGAAAGGAAACATTCAAATTCTTTCCTATTAACCAAAACACAATTATACATAAATCAAACTAGCTACAGTTTGACAGCAGGTATCTTACTTGTTACCATCAGCTAACATTAGCATATCTTTCATTCAATGTGCGGCCTTCACTTTACCCTTCAGCTTAACATTAACTTCTAATTAACTCTTGTTTTTCTGCTTGACAGTTTGGTTATACCAGAATTAGGTGAGTTTTATAAATCATATTTAAAGCCACGTGAACGCATACCTGAAACAAAAACGACCCTGGACAGCATGTTTGAAAGATTAAGTTCCAAGTTCTTGCTACACCGGGTAGCCTTATTTCGGCCTCTCCGTGCCCTTCTGCAAGGAACCACAAGGATAGCAAACACACGAAATCCTCTCGAAGCATCGCGAGAACAAGGCTCCAGTTTTTAAAGTTGTTAAAGAAAGCGACTAGTAGATGGCGCTGCATGCACAGACAACATTCGTCGCTGTCCTAAAGTAATTAAGGCTTCAATGGAGTGAATTACAAGTGAAGATGTAAGATCCATTGTCTTAGTTGAATTAAAATACACGACGTTTTTCAAATCTGACACCAAATGCACGAAAATATGAATAAAGTCAAGCAGCTTAATGCAAATAACACAGGCATGCAATCCACTAGCACATTATGATCTATAACGTTATATACTGATCAGAGACTGACCTTGCTGTATAGAAAACATTACACCATAGAAATATGTACTTATTTGTGAACCGCATTAAAGAGCAAACTGCTGTGACTGGACCCTAACAAGTTAATGGTGGTGAGACAGATTTGTTCATGGTAGCTCAGCCCTAGCTAAATTTGTTTAATATGGCAAAGCTAATAGAGTGACCTTTGACTCTGATGTGAATTCAGGTGATTCAGTGTAGGTGAACTACCTTTAAATCACACGTTTTAATGTATTTAATTTTCTAAACATTTATTAATGTAGCATTTTAGCTGCTGAAAAGCTGAAGAAAATAGAACCATTAATTTAAACCACTCATTTACACAAAATCTGCATAAAAGCCAACATATCAAGATTTGCAGCTCATATATGTGTTATAAAGTTTTGCTAAGAGCCTTCAAACCTTTCTAAGGCAGTTATTTACTGTACACCTTCATCAAATTAAAGATGATAATCCATTTCAATGATAAATGAGATTGTTTTTTAAAAACGTTCGTAACCTTTGAATGGAAACCATACACAAACAGCAAAGATCTATCTTTCTCTCTCTTCTCCTCATTAGTTTTTTTTTTAATTCCAGACTATGTGCAGGGAGAATTGGCTGGGTCTGTCTGTAATCTTGGGGCCCACCCGTGTATGGCATCAGTTTGATGCGAGTGGCTGCTGAGATAGAGGAACATATGACGCTGTGGTTCTGTTCACTTCCTGTAAAATTATGCTCAACAGAAACAGCTACATGTGAAACACAGACGAAATCCCCGGACACTACTTCAGAAGAGTGAGAAAATGGATGACTTCCTAACCATCTCATGAAGTGTTTTCCTTACTGAATGAAATGGTGCATTAGGTAAGCTTTATTATGCATTTTTGCTTATTAAGTAGCACTTTGTCTTTGCATTATCTTGAGCATTTTCCCTCCACAGCTTTAGTCAACAGTACCCAGGGCATGGTCTGTCTTTGATATGGTAATCCGATAGCTAGAGCTTTTTAATTGAATACAGCAGCAATGCAACGACTGCAACATCTACCATCACCTATAGCATTATTACTGCTACTACAGTATTACTATTATATTACTATCTGTAGAGCTAATACTGTGGCTGCTTCTACTACAACAGACCCACATGGGTTGCAGAGAATTGCAAGCTACATAAAGCATCATGAATGTCAAAGAAACTCTTTTAAGACTTTTCATTTTGTTTTATTTCCCACTTACAGCTCACACAAGTCTGGAACACAATCTAATTCAAGTTTAGTTTCAATTTTGTAAGCAGGTACAATCTCTTGAGACTAAAATGTTAGGACATTGCTTGAAACATGCCAATTTATACAATCCAGGTATGAGGGTATATTTCAGACTCTTTAAGTGTTTTCTCTAAATTTGAATGATTCACTTTAACAGTTTGAGAAACTATTAATATAATAATACAACTCATATAGCAGATGTAACATCTGAGCCATTATACAGTACCTGCAAAATAATATTTTTCAGCTTACCTTAACATTTTATATAAATCATTAAATAGCATGAGTACAACTTATTTGTTTACATATTTTGTATTTTACATATTTTATCATTATAATTAGTTATAAACCGTTTCCTCATATATGTTGTCATTGTAGGCTTGAGGCACTGTAACAGCCAGAGGAGCTGCCATGGATGCCCTGGCTGTTAGTGGAACACAGCACTCCCCGCTGAAATATTTTGACCAAATAGAGGCGTTCAGAGCAGAGAAACGCGAACACCTGCGAGGACGTAACAATGTGACTTCATGTCGCAGCCCTACCAGAGAGTTTGACACAAAACTGATAAAAAATGAACTGAAAGAAAAGAGACATCTGGAATTCCTGAGGAGGAGATCTGTGAGCCCAGAGCTGTGTGGTGTGAAGCCTATGAAGCATATTTCAAAGATAAAACCTTCAACAAAAACACTTTCAGTGACACATTGCAGTTCAAGAAGCAAGTCAGACACTCTGCACACAAATGTCCAAAATGCATTCACCATTAATAGACACCCACTGATGTTTTCAGCACCAAACAGCAGCATGACAGATGGTCCAAGCACCAGCAAATGGGTAAATACAAGATCCTTTGACAATATTTAATTGTTATGTCACCAGATTCGTGTTTCAGTTGTCATGCTCCACAGTGAATAAAGCCTGTAGCTGCTCTCATCTCCTCAGGCTTCATCATGGTCTGAACAGGCAACACTGATGAGGCCAGAGAAAGGCCATACATGGATGCAAACCTTCACACCAGTGATGATGGAGTCAAATGGACACAGAACAAAACGCACCGACAACCGAGAGAATAGAACTAATGGTAGTCTTGCCAATTATGTAACACTGACTTGCCACATTATCTTTGATCATTCATACTAATATTGTTACTTTCTTTCTCTCTCAAAGCTCAAAAGACAAATATCAAAACAGAAAAGATTCACCAAGAATTCTCCCTCCATACTGAAAATACTCTCCAAAAAAAGACATTGCGAGAGGCTGCTGTGCAAACAGAGTGAGTGTGACTGTCTGTAAATCTCCCTGATTTATTAAACCATTAAATCTCAAATTTAATATCAATAACATTTGAAGTAATTACATATTTTTCCACACAGGTCTGGCCTTGTCACTGTGAAGGAATCAGTGAGTTTTACACTGTTGCTTTATTCACTGGACTTGGTGGTGTAATGTGCAAATTACGTAATAATTATTAACAAATTTAACAGATATTCTTGTCTCTGGTTTGTCAATTAATAGGATGTTCAGCGGTTAGCTGACTATTTGCAGGTAAACCAAATCTTTAACACATCCATCCTGTGCTGTGTTTTATTCATTCTTCTTTAAAATCAGACTGTGCTTTTGACAGATGAAATAAATGACAATTTAAATTGATTAGCAACAAAATACACCCATACTCATTTAAACACACTCAGACATTTTAGTAATACAGCCTTACTGCATCTGGTATGATCACCAGTTTAAGGTGGCTAATGTTAGCACACTCTGATTTGCAGATAACATTATTCAAGCACATCTGTGACTTTATGGCTCTGTTCAGTTGTACCAATGTCACACTACTAATGGTAAATTGTAAAATTTACCATTATCTTGTAATTGCCAGTTGTGCCTATAGAAGATGTGTTTAGCCTATATGTTCTGGAGCCAGGTACATGGCTGAGTATGACAGTTAGCAAACTTTAGCTAGATTATCTACATGCTCTCAACCACATTGAGTGTAGCCAGTGGCCTGCCTTTTATACTTAGAGCCACAAAAAGGAATATTGCTGTTTTACTTTCACCCAGCAAAGAAGATTTAGTGACCTTGGTGATGCTGAATATGAAGTTAAAACTTTAACAGGTGCTGACTGTCTATAGCTACATTCAGTATTTGAACGTTGATGTAGCTATCCCTCTGGTTTGTCAGGAGGCCCTGTGGAGGGAGGAGGTTGTGAAGAAGAAGCTGGCAGCCCTCCAGGAGAGCACGTCGAGCCTCCTGAACTCCTCGAGCAAAATATGGACAGTAAGACTCCCCCTCTGTATGCACAGGCCATTTATTTAAATCAAACACAACCCCAGGTTCCACACTCACATATATATTTCTCATTTTATAAAGTCATGCTGTTGCTGTTCATTGGTCTTTGGTTCCCTGGTTGATATTGAACTGAACATTTCTTTGTCACAGTTGCATACACAGACTGTGTATGGTTGCTGTTGCCTCAGGAAGGCCTGTGCAGCCTGTGGTTTGGAGCTTCCTGCCTCCGCTCTAGTCTAAACTGCATAGGAAGAGTGCAAGCTGTCATTCCTATACAGGAAGGGTATGACAGTCAGTAGCTATTAAAGATGCTATCCATCCTCATTAACTCTTTTTTTAGCTACTTGGGCTGTAATGACGTTTGCTGAGGAGCTAGAAGTTCATTTAGTTTAAAATCTTTATGCTTTTCATCTGTAAAATTGTTTCTTACCCAGGTATGTTATCATTATAACACATGTGCTATTCTGCACACTTGTAGCTGTGTAGTGTTGCAGAACATGCACACAGTGTGTTCTCTGTTGAGACTCACCCATGCTGCAAGTTCTCTTTGTGCACCAGTGTGCACACACTGAACATGTTGTGACAACTTTTGGCAGATGAACCATTAATTTTCCATCTGCAGGTTACAGCGTGACAGTCAGTCACTTCCTTTCTAACCCACACAGGCTCGCTGCAGTGAAGACTTGCTGAGAAACAAGATCAAGGCTCTGGAGGCGCAGCTGCAAGTCTGTCTGCAGGTAAGAACAGCTGCTGCTGGTAAAGAAGCAGCCACTGAGTATTTTTTAATCATACAGTGGGGGTGCTTTTATATTATTTCTTTGCAACAATTCAACCATTCAGCCCTTCTTAAAATATCCAGCCCCTTCACTCTGTCATGCAGTGAAGGTGTTGTGTTTATCAAATGTGCTTCTATGTGGTTTTGAGTTTCTCTCACCCAGTGAGTATTTATTTGTCTAACTCAGTAGTGTTGTGTCCTTATAGAAGTTTCCAAAAGATGCTGTGAAGAAACTGGTGGTACAGATGGAGAAACAAAAACTGATATATGAGGAGAAGGCCCTAGTCGCCCTGCAGAAGGCCACACAGGAGAAAACTGAGGCACTCAGCAAAGCTGAGACACTGCAGGTCAAGCATCTAACACAAATAAAAAACAATCATGTTCTTTCTTTTTAACTAAAGATAAAGACACAACATCAATGTCACTGACTTGGATTTTCTGCTGATTTTGTTCACATGTGAAGTCAGGCTTAACACAAGTGAATCTTGCAGCTGAATCTTATGAAAACCTTGTATTTTGGTCACCAGGAAGCACTAAATACAACAAAGGCAGAGGCACTGAGGTGGCAGAGTGAGTGTGAGGAGCTGAGGCTCAGCTCTGGACAACTCAGGGAGCAGCTGCACCTCAGTAATGAAAAGCTGCAACAGCTACACAGCCAAGTGGAGGTACAGTATACTATGGTAATGTGCGTGGTCAGAAGTTTGAATGTCAGCAGTAGTGGAACGTTTGTGTGTATGTGTGTGTCCGCTGCAGCTGTCCACGTCCAGAGAGGCTGAGCTGACGGAGGCAGTGCTGTCATTAACACAAGAGAAGAAAGAGCTGCAGTGCAACATTCGCCTGCTGGAAGAGGGCAACCAGAGTTTAAGAGAAATTCAGCACCTTAGGGGTAAGACACTTACAGTAGGATCGATGTAAAGTCATTCTCAGCCTTTGTAGCATTTAAAATACTACAAAGATAACATGTTTTTTAAAAACTGCTTTCTCTTTTCTAGATGGCAGCAATGAGAGCCAGGACTTTATAATGGGTGGGGGTCTGACGTCAGAGGAAGCAGAGCCACGACTGATGGTGAGGAGAGACTCTGAGGTGGAGGAGCAGCTCCGTCACACTCAGGAGAAACTTCGGCTCAAGGAGAGAGAGGTAAAGCGAGGATGTCACTGTTTACTGTAGCACATTCATTACCTTTCTTTTTTGTTTCAATAAAAACTGCCACAGAGGTAATGATTACATTCAAGTGTTTCACAAGATATTCATAAATCCAAACAAGATGAGTTGGAAATAATGTGCCCATCACTACAGTTTGTTGGACAGAGGCTGATGCAGAAGGAAAGAACATTTATTTTTTCACATAAAATGGTTCATGATGCATTTAAATATATTTTTTAAAAAGATAATATATTTTTTTAAATAATATGTATGTCGTTTTCAAATGCAGTCCAAATGCATAAAAATAATTCTCAAGATGGGTTTTATAATTAATATAAGAGTAACTACCCTCAATATTTTATGGATAATGATACACCGGTTAATAGATTGGAGGATGTAGTAGATAAGTTTAATAGGTTCTTTGTGAATGTTGGTCCTGGTTTAGCAAGAAGCATTTGTACAGATGATACATCCGTCACTATAAATAATAATACAATCGAAAGGAACATGAGTTCTATGTTTTTGAAGCCCATAGTTGAAAAGGAAATTATAGAGATAGTGAACAAATGTGGTAATAAATCATCCAGTGATAGTGATGGTATCACTATGACAACTGTTAAATGGGTAATTGAGG